CTCAAAATAACGATTATAATATGGTTAAAAAACAAATATCATAAAACAATTATTAAAAATCATGGGAAAATTCATTGAAACCCGTTATTTTTAATTATAAAAATAATAAAATAACGATTAAAAATTATCATAAAATTATAAATAAAAAAAATTACGAGTTTGTAACGATTCTGAAATAAAAAGACTGCATTATAACGATTACACGGTTTACAACAAAAAAAAAATATCTGCATATTTAACATCAGAAGGCATGCCGTGTTATATTTTTCAGGTCTGTAGCTTCGTCCACTGCGTTCTACTAGGCCCAAAACAACGTTTCTTGGTCGTCACCCCTATGGCCGCCGGCTAGCGATTTAAGAACTTTGTTGCTGCCGTGAACAGCCTGTCGAAGGTGATTTTAGTATTTTTGGGTTGATCACCATCAGAATTTGTTCCCCATCGACGTCAATACCCAGTTGTAGCCTAAACTCTCTTTTTCAGTTGGTGATGATATTGTAGAGGAGAGAGTGAAGAACGAGAAATTTAGAAGAGGTAACCTCAATTCCATTGCCGGACTGCATTATCAAGCAATCGTCAGCATACAAGATAATTAAAGCTCCCTCTGGTGGTTGGGAAAGCTTCGAAATATAGTAGCTTAATGAATCGATCATCGCCCCGGCGGTTTTCTCGACGACAAAAATTCTTTCCGAAAGAATCCTTTGCTTCCTTTCGAGTATACTTATAGACCATAGCATTCGAGGACTAGAACAAGTATTTTTTAAATTATTATTTGCATTCACCTCGGTGGTGAACCAGCGTAGTTCACCTGTTGGTACTAGGTGGTTCCGACTTGGGCGATATATCTTGCAAAATTTTTTAGAAACAAATGAAAGCGCTTTAGGTAATTAAATCAAGTATATCGGAAATACTGTTTGCTCTACTTAAATGATTTTTTATCGATATACCAATGAATGTAATTTCTCTTGCTCAAAATTTTTATTATTCAGAAAAGAAGAAAGAGCGAATCCAGTCCAATTAAATATTTCTTTTTTGCATTGCAAACTTAAAAGAATTTATTTTATAATCTTTGCGTTTTAATTACTGAATCGTTGAATCTATTTTGTTGTCGCCATGCCTGATGCTATACCCACCGCAGCCATTTATGCGCATCCGTGTAGCGAACTGGAATGGAAACCAGAGCCGCCAAGTGAAATCTGTAGGGCTCGCCGCTTTAAAGGTCCCATTTACGCAACGCTACTTAAAGAGTTCTATCAGGATGGTTGTTTCAAAGGAGCTTGTCATTTTGAGTATTTAGTAGAGCTGGAACAAAGTCTTATCGAAAGGGAGCATGAGATACACTACGTTTACGAGAATGAAAGCTTTCTATTTCAATTGGTCGAGAATGCGAAGGCAGCCGAGCAAGTTTTCTATTTGGATCGAATTCGCGGCTTATATGTTTCGAGGCAGATACTCTATTACCTTATAGGACTGGTAGAAAAGCAACAATTTCATTGGTTGACACAAAGCATATATGAAATAATAGCCGAGTACATGCTCAAGCCTAAAACCCATGATGGCTCAGCGCAGGAGCAATCCGCGAGATTTATTTTCAAATATGCCGAATTTCTGATGCAACAAGGAAAACGTTAGTACCGATTCTTACTCAAATGATAAATAAAAAAAAGGTATTCACTAAAGCTTTTTGTTTGCCAAACAGCGGAACAACTTCAGAAAGCCACAATGCTTATACCTACAGCCATGGAAGCGGCATGCAGCGAAGAATGGCAGCCTGATACCAGCCCTGAAAATGAATTATTTTGCACTCTCCATGCGGCCTTAGGCAACTTATTGGCTAAGATTTATTTGATCAAGGCAAAACAGGTAGATATTACACGAAAGCGTGCTATTAAACGTGTACAGAAAGCGCTGAAGGCTATCGCTCAAGGTATGTGCAAAGTTTTGATATAAAATTGATTGAGGAATGGAGCAGCGGATTCCTCTTCTTTACAGTTGGTATACAAGAAAATAGATGTACAGCCTTCAAAGTTTTTCTAACAAAAATCGAGCTTCTTATGGAATCTGGCAGATATGATTGGGCTTTGAAGGAACTACTTTTACTAGAAAAGAGTGTTATGATAGCGGAAGGAGCAGAGTTTAGAGAATTTAAGTTGGATTTCTTGAAAAAACTTGGTACGACCTTGTGTAGGTGAGTAACTTTATGTAAAAAACTTTTCAGACTTTATTCACACCTACGAAGGATCAAGCGAAATGTAAAGCTTGTCACCAAGGCCAGATGAATTTCTGTTTCGTAGGTTCCAAGTTTCATTTATTTTTACTAAGATTCTATTAAAAGGGCATCTTAAACTACATCTTTGGCTAGTTCCGAGTTAAAATGTTGTTTGGGAACCCTATGAATTATTGATTCAAAGGGAAAATAGCCTATCTCGAGATACACTTAGAACTTAGAGAAAGGTTAAAGGTTATGTATTCAACTCTATAAAGCCTTATCTACCAGGTAGATAATTGTGAGTGGTGTTTCAAAGGTTCTTGCATTTAAAGGATTTCCCTGTTGATTTTCTATAAGTTAAAAAAAGTGAGTTCTAACAAAGATTGTCTATTGAAAATTTTCCCTTTGTTTGCTACTATAATTCCATGTAGAAATGGTTTCCTAAAAATTATTATCTTTTTCTTCCTGAACAGCCTTGGCAAACCGATTGATGCAATAGAAATTTTTGGCAAGGCATTGAAATTTTGCAGAGTAAATAACTTTCCCCAAGCGGAAGGTGAGCTTCTACTGCAAATCGGCCATGCGCAACGCCACTTACCCGGCGGTGAACTAAGAGCACTTCTGGCATTTCAATTGGCCGAAAGACGTTTTCATTGTCAAGGTGATAAATCAAAGGAACTTAGTACTATATTCATTAAGGCCGCCTTGAAGTCACAGCTCATACTATCTGACTTAACGAAACTTATGAGTTCAAAGGCGTATTGTGATTATTATAAGCTGAGACGTTGGAAAAATCTTTGTGAACCATTTTGGGAAGTCGGAACGCAAACTGGGCATATAAATCGAGATATTTTGAAAAACATATCAATGTACACTTCAGAAAATCTACACAAACTATACAATCTCGTATTAGAAACATCTGAGAAGGACGACAGCGGAGAGAACGTTTATTTGGAGCGTATAATTGTAGAAAATTTATATAAACCTGCTGTTTCAATAGCCAGCGCAGAAGTAGAGATTGAAGAAGGACCAGCAGGAGAAGAAGCCCTTTCTGAGTATGAGTTTGAGTACGACCAAGTTGTTTCTGCTAGCAGTGATCCGTGGGATATTGAGAAAAGTGACACATCGCAGAAAGTCACATATGCGCCAGCAACAGCACAGGTTCGGAAATATTCGATTTCGACTACTTCACGAAAATCTACGCCAACAGTAAAGGATACGGACCCTATAAGCTGCTTGCTACGAGAGACTTGAGCTTTTCACTTGATTTAATTGTATTTTAACGTGAGAAATTGTTTTGTTAAATAAATCAAGAATAATTTATGTGAAATTCGTGCTCTTCTGCATTTGGAATAAGCATATTTATAGTCTATTTGCAGCGTATATTTACACCAGCCACTTGCTTCTATGGATTTAGCGTATACTAAAAGTTCTATAGATGTCTGCCTTCTGAACGAAAACGTCATCTGGGTTTATGAAAGACAAACGGCAGCGTTGACTTGGATCAACTCGTTAATTCGGAATTATTTCGAGAATATGATCCAGTTTAATTCCTAGCGTCAATTCTAAAAATAAATACGTATCAGTGGCATTTACTATGACAACCTTTGACCAAAAAGGCCAGATGTTTTCTGTTGTGAATAGAAAATATACGAAGCAAACAAATGTGTATGGCTTCCGCGGTAGCACTGCGTAGTACATCTCAGTGGGAGCCGGATTTAATTCCCGAAATTTTGGAGTTGTTCGAGCCTGATTCCCTTGGTCTACGTACCGACAAGTGTTGCGATATGTTAAGTCTTATATCTTGGGTTACTATTAGACAGTACCGGACTCAAGACTTCTGTTCTTCTATATCTGTCACTTCAGAAGCATTTCTCAAAAACCTGTTTGATTATTTCATATGATATTGCAACAAGAACAACAACAACAACAACAGTCGACTGCTTTTAGCGCTAATCTCTTCTTGAAAAACGGTGTGAAAGCCCGGAATACACCGATCCGTTTTTCCAGTCAAGTTTTTCAAAATTTTTAGGGTATCCGTAGTTTGGCTTGAAAAATAAGGCAATGTGCTTAAGTGCTAGATTAGGTGTGGTTCAAAGCATCCTACAGCTTCCAATATGGACAGCGCTTCAACGCGCTTTAGGCTGTTAGTTACTGAAGCCCTCAATAGGTCATTTTGGGCGAGAAGGACTATACCTTGCCGATGGGGAGGGTGCAATTGTATACAGTAGCTGATGCTTTTTTCTTGCGCTCTTGAATGTTTTGCCTTCAGGAAAGCGGTCTGTAATAGTCAATTACCAGACCCTATGAGAAAGCTCAAGTGTCACACCACCTGTTGAGTATTAAACACTTTAAGTATATCATCTGGTGAAATGGACGAACTTCATTTTACGAAAGTCAATGGCAAGTCCGGAGTAAGCAGATAATTTTGCGATTAAGTTTTGGATTAAGTGTTCCAACAACCTAGCGTCCTAATGTTATTGATTTTGTGAATTTTCCAGCAAAGTAGGGGTCAGAGTTGTGTCTCAAATGACAAATTGAAAAAAAAAGTTGACGTCAACTTTTATTTCTATGTTTTCAAACGTTAGCGTCAAAAATAATACATACATATGTTTATCTTTCATATATTTCTTTAAGCTAAGGACAGGGAAGCTTACCGACTAAACGTACATCAAGGACGACTACACTACATACATACATATTTACCTAACCTTTACATACGCATATATATTTTGTTACTTAGATAGTTTTTTAAATTCGCGTTTCCTAGAGTCCTAAAATCTGTGAAATAAAAATGCTGAACCGCAAGCGGGTGGCTTTCTTTAATCGTGAAAAAATTCGCTCTGAGCTCACCACCCTCAACTACGTAGAGGCACGACGTCTCAACGGACCCATTTATTGCGCTCTGGTCAAAGAGCTATACGAAGAGGGCTGTAGGATTAGTGCACGCCATCTTGAAAACTTAGCGGAAAAGGAAACTTTTTTCTACGAGACGAAGGTCATCCGGGATCGTGTCTGCGATAACAGAGACTTGTTGATGGCACTCTTTGAGAATATGCGCGTAGCCGAGAAGGTGCAAATAGTTGAACAAGCTGAACGTTACCAGACGACAGTAAAGTGTCTCTATCAGATTATTCAGCTGTTAGAGCCATATAAAATTGCGTTCGATTGGCTGTTGGCGCATATTTACAGCATAATCATACCGATTTGTGAGCATATCGAGAGCATCAACGAACCGAATACTAAAGAGACCATTGCTCGCATCTACTTTAAAACTGCTAAGTTTCACAGTCTGCGAGGTGAGTAAAACGATGATCGCTTTCACTACTACAAACGTGTTTCAATGTCATAGGAATAATTTCAGAGAACTCGCTGCCTATTGCCATCAAATTTATGGAAAAGGCTATGGAATTAAGTCGAAACGAAGCGTGGCTCTCTGAATACGTAACCGAACGTGAGTGGGGCGTTTATCCGACGCTGCATCTGGTGGCGGGACGTGAAGTTGCTTGTTTCTTTTTGAAATATGCAAAAAACGTATCCTCACTCGATTCCAAGGCTGCTGAGGAGGCCGCACAAAAAGCGGCTATCAGTCTGGCAGAAGGTGAGTGTACATAAATACCGTGGGAAAATTGTTAAATAAAAGGGTGGGAAAAACAGGTAGCAACGCTAGGCGCTGAGTCGATTTGATATTGAATAGAGAGTCTTCAGTTTATCTGCTGAAAACTAATTTTTCTCGAAGGATAAAGCAAAGTATAGCATAGCATTTAACTGCCCAGCAATTTAATGGTTCCCAGTTTATTGTTTCTGTTCTCGACCGCTGAATGATTATTGAGGACTACCACAAGCGTTACCTCAAAGCTACATCTTCGAAAAAATATAGGCAATTAACCCAATCTAACTCAAGTCTTTGGGAAAAGTTTAGATAGAGAGATATATAAATTTAAGAAGTATACACCGCGAACTCGTGGGTCATTGAAGCTGAGGCAGCCGCTGTTCTAGCTAAGCCGTCTTATACCTCTTCCCCTTTATTCTTTTGTGGATATTATTGTATTCAGCTAGGGTTTTCCCGCGAAGAATAATAGTGCTTTGAGTGCCGCCTGATGTTTCATTCCGCTGTAAAGATTCATAGGAGTTCGTTGGACCATAAATTCCCTCCCCAAGCAGTTGCTCCAAGTCCTCCGTTTTGAATTTTTTTTCGAAAGTGCTAGCCTGGAGTCCTGACTTTTCTATATTCCTAGGTGATAGGGCTTTGGATCTACCACAACCAACTCTTGCAAAGTTTAAGGCAGGCGGCTTGGCTGCCTGTTCCATGGTGATGTATAATGGCTAGAGTTTAAGAACTACCTCGAGTTCTGTCCCCAGGCATGTGCGCATAGCTCCCGAAATGCTGTAGCTAAGGCGGTTCTCGAAACCCAAGTTACTGCCCAATAGGTCACTATTGGTCGTACCATCATGCTGTACATCCATCTTTGAATCTTGAGGCTTTTGAAGTGGTCGCAACAACATGTAATATACACAGCAGCATAAAGTCCCATATTAGGCCTAAATACTTAACCCCGACGACCTTATTCAGGACTATATTCCTAGTGAAGGATACGATGGTCATCGGTTGGTATTGAGTCCAAGATTGGTATTGGGGTTAGGTGAGATTACCTATGGCGTGCCTCTTGCCAGCTCATTTAGAGTATTTCTACTCTCCAAGACTATCCATGCAGTGACGACCGTGGTGTATAAACACAGACTTACTTTCCGATTTTCCACATTATTAGACAGAGAACTAATAAGGCCAGAAATGCACCCATTTTGCGGGCCTTGATTGAATTTAATAATCTTGATCGAGTCTCAAATGGTATTTTAGACTTTTCACTACCTAAGCCAATTTTTATTCAAACGATAAATGAATTGTTAACCTAACCTTAGTTTTAGTTTTAATCATTCACTAGTCTGTAAGAATTATGTACACATTAGACTAAACAAATAAATAAATATGTAAGTTACTTACCACAACCTCTTTTGTGATGAATGTGGCGTCACTTAACATAGTCTTGCTAATCATATTTCGACTCCGCTCTAATTTATATCACATTCACTATATCTCTTATCTTTTCCAATTGCCGGCATAGTCGGCATAGAGAAGAATAAACTGGAATATATACGGGCCCTCATCTCACGTGCCAAATATATGCTGAATTCTGAGAACTACGAGTCCTCTTCGAAGTTATTGCTAAGAGTGCAGAAAGATCTGGCCAAGCATACTACAGTAACCGAACCTAAAATATTCTGTGATCTGTATTTATATGAAGGCATCTGTTTGTGGAAGTAAGTGGAAACTTTAGCGCAGTTGCTCTGTCAACAAGTAATATCCATGTCCATTTTGTTTTCAGTCAAAATGATATAAATAGCGCAATTGCCAAATTGAAAGAAGCTTTAAAGTTTGCAATTAAAAGTCTTTCTCAAAGACGGGAAGCTGAAGTGTGTGTTGCTATTGGAAAAATTTATGCATCTAAAATGGACACAGAATCTCAAAGAACAGCGTTCAATGCATTTATGCGTGCAAAGCAAATTTTTGGTAAACTTGGAGATGCCTTGAATCGAAAGAAAGCTCATTACATGTTGGCCAAATTGAAGGCCGACAAGATATTTCCTTCCCTTATGGATTTGCTGAAGAACAGCCAGGAGAAGGCTTGTGGATTTTACAATTTGCGTCAGTGGAAAAATGGTTGCAAAGCATTTTGGAATACAATGGGAGTTGAAGAGTTGAAAAAAGACAAAATTTACTGTTTACTTGAAGACAAGATCGAGGATACATTCGCTTGGGAAGACAACGAATTTGTATGAAATCGTACAACTCAGGCTGAAGCATGCATACATGCATATATAAATCTATGTATACAACAATAAATGCAAAAATAGATATTCATACATACATATATATTTTATACTCACATAAAACAAAAATACTTAAAAAATTAAAAGAATATACTTTAAGTCTTATTACATTAAACATTCTTGTATATATCCATAGGATTCGCCGAAACGGCTCTAACGATTTTGATGAAATTTTGTACACAGATAATGTTTTGGATTTTAAGGTTATATGAATAGGCATTATCTACGAGAAGACTCGCTTAAGGTTGCCACCTATACGAAATTAGATATAAATTAATTTAAACATCATAATATAGTTATCAAATGGAAGGTATTTTAAAGATCCCTAATTCAAAAAATATTTTGAAGAGAGTAGCCACCTATTTTGAATCGCATATTTATTTAATTTTTTTATTTATAAAAAAAGGTAAAATATTACTACTCATGGGTACCAAGAGCAGGTTCTTAAACAACGCTTTTCCTATATACAAAATGTTATCTCTTAGGATAATAGTGTAAGGTTGCCACCTATTTTCGATTCTACACACTTTATCGAAAACATTGCATCACGGATATAAAATGAAAGGTCTTGTTGAGAACTTTGGTCAGAAAATATTTTCCATCAGGGTTGACACGATTCTATGTAATACAAATTTTTATTTTGTTGATTTCAGTCAACATTTGTTTTCGTATACACAGTACATATTATACGCTAAAGATACATTCCAGCGTATTTCGGAATAGGGTTGCCACCTAAATTGTAGAGTAAGGAATTTACTTAATAGATATCGAAATTCATTTTTTTAAAGCTATCCAAGTCTTGAAAGCTTTAAAAAGTATGTGCACTTCAGGCAAAGCTCGGTTAACCTGGTATTTATAATTATTTAATATCCTCAGGAATTGTATAAGTCTCGTTTAAATATGTAATACCTTGTAGCCGGATTTCTCCGTGTCTTTCGTCTCCGAGCGGAGATTGACTCCAACCCTTAACCAGAACTCAACTTCTACTGTATTTGTCAGATGCAATACCTCCAACGGATGGAATCACCTAAGAACCTGATCACGCCTTAGCTCACGTAGGGAGAGGACCACAAATGTTGTTGCTTCCTGCTGCTCAAGCTATACGGCATTACCCGCTTACACGGCCGTCGAAACTGCTACAACTGAACTGCAACGGACTCCGGAGCAAGACCGAACAAATAACTGTCCTTATGGATCGGCACGGTGGTGGTGGTCTATCGATCATCCTACATCACACTGTGCAGTATCGTCCAATCGAAGAAGACATCGACCCCAGGGACACCACCCTTGAATGAAGAGACATGGCTGTCCGTCAGGCGATGTTGAGATCGAAATATTTAACGCTTATGTACCCGCTGAGATTAGTACACTACTCAGAGGTGAAAACTGTATGGTAGTAGATGACTTTAACGCCCACCACGTTCTTTGGAACTCAAGCCTAACCAACGATCGTAGGAGAAACCTATCGGCTGAGCATGTAGACGATTCGACATCGTGGGCAGCTGCTTACCTCACCTCTATCAATAAGCCCAGCCACTTTGTTTCCGAGGACCACCGTACCTACATATGTCAACTTCAATAAAGCTTATTGAAACAGCTTCGCAAAAATTACCGAGAACACCTTCGCCGCCCTTTCAGAAGCGACTGTTCTCGCGAAGGAGCGTTACCACCTAGCGTACCTGCCTTTTTTATGGCGCCGCTCAGCCGCTCGCCGTTTTTCCGCTCATTGCGTGGCCTCGACCTTAAGGATCCTAATTTGGAGATTTGGCAATTGATAAATAAGAAGTGGGAGCAGGGTTTGAAGACCTAAGACCTACAACTTCGTCTGTGATGGGAGTCAGCTCTGGTCAGCCGTGAGGTCCCTGACCATTCCGACGAGCCGTGACGGCAGAGTGGAAATCGTTTTCGGCGGCCATGCCTCGTCGAACCCGAAGAATTTCACGAACTATTTTAGCCGGCAGTTCAACGGCATCCTTCGGTGTATAGGGCCAAATGTCTACTGATTAGAAGGCTGCACAAGCTGCCTAAAAATAAAGCACCCCTTTCTTGCAGGGCGAGACGCTCCAAAGCTATTTTACCTACAACACCCGCACCTACACCGTAATACATTTTGGAACCGTCGAAGAGGTTTTAGGATGATGATGCTAGCTTGCAGAGATGTACGTGTATATGTTTAAAGCTTTGTCCAGTTTGGGCCCCAAGTAAGGAGTTTTCATAAATTAAATTTATTTGAGGAGACTCTAGCCACATTATATTTTTTTAACCTGGTTGCTCTTAATCGTAAATCGGATAAGGGCACTGTGAGACAGAACTGTCTCGGTACAGCGCAGAGATAATAGAGCTTCTTTCCATGGTGGGGTCATTTCAACTTTTTTCTGACGATATTCACCTGATGGATGAGCTTGATGGGAGGGAATCCTACACCGATGACGTAGTATTTTTAGTGAAAGGTAGATTTCTGAATGGATCCAATGTTTCTTCGGGGTTGATGGTTAAATGGATCCAGGTAAGGCGGAACTAGCTAAACTTTCTAGAAAATGTGAGATTCCCAAAGCGATTAAAGGAATTTGATTGGCCTTTCTGATATGGTCATGTATGTATTTCAGCTTGACTTGACTTAACTGCTCTTGGTACGAGATGGGGGTCCATGAAGTATTTTCTTTGCTCTACCCTAGATTAGCCCATAATGTTCTTTGAGTAGTGGAATTCGTTAAAAAAAATACAGATGAAACTGCGTTAGAGCCGATACCTTACCGTTTGCGTAGCTAAAATGGCCCTGAACAGCTGTTTCTCCATTTTTATATCTTCAACGAATGAGTGCTTGCAATGCAGTGCCTTAAAATAAGAACCAAAACTTGGATATGTCGCTTATCGGAAGCTGGCCGCAAATCTTAAATTTAGGCCTGGTTCAAGACTGTCAATAGATCTTCTGAGACCTCCGCAACTCTTTATTTGGCGCAGGTTTTTATTACGGAATTCACGGTATACATACTATCGCACCTCTTTTAACCCTCTGCTACTGACGTGACCGAAGTTTCTCTATTATACTGACATGTAGTCACTCAGACACCAATTTTCCAGATCAAAATATATATGTATGTATATAAGATATTTATAAATTAACTTTTTTCGATTTAAGCTGGAAATTTTATACATAATTTAAATACTCATTAAAAAAAAAAACAATTTGGCGAAAAGTAGGCGTTTTTAGTAATCAATGCCCCGGGAAAATGTCGAACCTTCGGTGTCTGTCAGACTACCACATCAGTCGTAGAGGGTTAAGGATGATTCGGTGAAATCATCTCAACACCTTCGCAGCGTTTGCTTCCTTGATAACCTTGCGAAGCTCTCTGGAACCTACATCAGCCACTTGCGTTACTTCGTCTAGGTCAAGTGACGTTTTAACAGCACTGTTCTTTATTTCAAAATCCGTGCTACAATACCAATTAGATCGATCCCTATCGCTTCACTAAAGAAAAATTTTGGCAACACAAGCCCTCTTAGGATCTTCAGGCCTTTACATTTGAATCTCAAATACTTCGAAATCCAGAGGTCAGCTAAACACACGATCGCACCGCTTGATTTGAATTGGGTTCTTCTGCCGGATGCCCATTAAAAAGTTTTGAATTTTAATTTGAATGCATAACACAGGCCAACAAAAATTGAAAAAAAATTGTTGGTGCGGCAAATGTTAAAACTGCCTTTGATAGACTTTTTTGTGCTGATTACGAATCCGTAAGTATAAAATTTCCATCAGCTCCAGATTGAAATTACGATACCATCGCCGCACCCTGACCCTAAGGTCACTTAAGTAACTTATTGGACAGCAAAAACTGATTTTGGCACAATTTTTTTCTTTCAATAACACAATACTCCACTATTTTGTTATTGTTCAATAAATGACTTTAAGTGACCATCGGGTCCAGGTGCAAGGATGGTATTTTCAGGGATAGTAGCTGAAAATTCTAGATTTAATTTGAGCCTAAGCCGAAGGCTCTATCAGCTTTTGCTTATTTGCTAGAGCTTTCGTTTTTCACAAAATCCGGATCTGATGGAAACTTTAGACTTACAGATTCGTAATCAGCACAGAAGTCTATCAAAACAAGCTTTAACATGTGCCGCACCAAAATCAGTGTTGCCCTGTGTAATACATATAAGTTATGTGATATAGCAAACGACATATGTTTCTGGCTTCAAGCGTGCTCCATGCTTAGGGCAGTCATCATTATCTTACCAGATAAACTATTTTACATAAACATATGCTAAAACTTATATAATTTTTTTTACTTACCTAATAATAAATTCCTAATTCATCTCTCAGTATTGTTTATTTATCAATTTACGGTACGGACACACTTTTAATTATGAAATTCTTATAAAACCAACTTACAAGTTAATTGTCCTAAAATTTGAATGAGTGGAAATGTTAATTATAATTGTTTGTTCATAGCAAAGTATGTGTTGGAGAGCCAATGCACTTTATCGTCAGTGTTCAATGTATAATGGTTTCATACATTTATGTAGAGAACTGAAATTACAAATTGTGCTTGAATATAATATTATTGTAGATACATATTTTGTATTAAATTACTTTAAGTAACTCTCAACTAGATGCTTTTTTTCATATTTTTCCTTGTTTGTTTTTATGGTATATACACACAAAAAGGTGAACAAAGAATCAAATTGTTTGAGATACTCGTAAAATATCGGTATACCAATTTATGAAAGGAATAAAGCACTTAATAGTCAGTATAGTTCAATATAAACGACTGCAAATGCCCGCAAAAAAATCTTAGGGATATAACAAAATGTTGGTTCAATTAAAAAATAACCAATAATATATCCTTAATAATAGGTCTTCACAAATTTGCGATCTTAATTGTACACCGCTAAACTTTATGCGTAGAGAATGATGTAGCTGAAATGAAAAATAAACGCGAAGATTTAATAAGTTACCAATTTTATAATACTTTAGAAAACCTACAGGTCTCACACATACTAAATCATCACTCGACTCCCATCTTCGAGTTCAAAATATTCGAAGATACCTCAACTGGAGAGTCTAGACTTTTATCTTTAGATATCTCATCGATACGCTCCTTTACAATTCCATCTACAATTTCGCTATCTTTGATCGTCGAGTCTTTTTAAAAAGAAAATTTTTTATAATTTTTTATTCGTATATCCAGTAACTTTCATTACAATAACTCACCATCAACAAACAATTGCAGTGATATATTTTCATCCAGAGTATCACACAATTTAGTATCGCCTATAGAGAGTTCTTCAGGCACGTTTTGCTCATTTGTGTCACATTCAGGGCCGTTATTTGTTATTGCCACTGCATCCATAGTATTTGCCAAGTCGGTACTTTCAGTTCCGCGGTCATCATTTACGTTGTTTATAAGAGAGTCTACTATATCATTTAATGAGTTTAATGATTGCGAAGGTGATACTGAATCAATGCGGGTGAGTTTAGGTAACTCTGCTGCAACAGAGTCAACGAGGTCCTCTTTCGCATCGGGCATGACATCTTTAGTTGTTTCAACAGACTCAGTATTTAGGGCTGCGGCACCATTTGTAATATTTTCAGCTACCTCATTAACACCCTTCTCAATATTTGGCTCAGTGCTGCCTGATTTATCAACAGAAGCCGGTTGTTCTACTGCAGAAGCAAAACTTTCCCCAGAGGAATCGTGGCCAGAGCCTGATTTGCCATCTGCAATTCCTTTATCAACCAAAGCAGATTCAGATTCATTGGGAACCAGTTCTTGCGGCTCAATTTCCGCAACGACATCATCGACTGCGGTTGCTGAACTTGTTCGTGATATGCGTCTTTCAGGTATTTCGATGGGCACTACATAGTAAATAAATTTATTGTAAATATAATTTTAATGGCGGGAAAATGTCATCTTTCCTTCTTGCTTAACCTTACCTATGTATTCACATTCGTCATCTTCATCGTCATCCTCATCCACTTCATCTGCAGTTAACCGCCGTAAACTACTTGGTGGCATTTTCTCATTTGCCAATTTTAGCTGTTCCTTTCGAGGACTAGGCGATCCGTCACCTTTTAGAGGACTGAAAGATTTTTTCTCACGCTTCTTTCGTCCGGCCGATGCATAAGGTGTACTAGCAATTGCCGGGGCAACAAAGAGAGAGGGGTCGAGTTCAATATCATCGACTACTTTACCGTTTTCAACTTTTTTCAGACGAGCCGGCGTCGCTGTAAGTGACATAATTGCCGGATTTGCTGATTTTAGTGCTGCTTGCGAAGTTGAAGCAACATCGGGTGCGAATATTTGACTATAATCCGCTTCTTCTGAATCGCTACTGTCTCCAAATATTTCAACCTGGTCACGAAAAGACACAGACAGATTTTTAGATTTGGAACGCTTAGCTTGTAGTCGTCGGGCACGGGCGTTCGATTCAAAAATTAACATCATGGGATGTGAACAACGTTCAATTTTAACACGTGAACAAAATACGCGCTTGCCATACATTTTTATTAGTTGTGTTCTTGTAAACTTTGTTGGCTTGGTGCTAGAAACGGCGGCAGCGGCGTTAACTCTTTTCGCAATGGATCCAGTACTAAACTTCTTCTCTTTTACTGGTTTATCTGCTCTTGCTTTTGATTTTGGAGATTTAGTAAGTGCATTTAATTTTATGAAGAAACCAGACTGTGGCTTCGGATCAGAAGGTGGCCGGCCCCTTTTGGGAGGAGAGCCTTTTTCAGATGGCGATGAACTATTGCTCTTGCGGTTTTTACCAATATTTTTAGTTTGTTTATTAGATATCTTATTTTTCTTTAGAGCTTTCCTTTTTGCACGAAATTCCTGTTGAAGCTTTGCTAAATCTTGACGCAGCAAACGTACATTACAACGTTTTACCTTAAGCTGAGTTAACTGTTGCGCCTTTACAAGTACTGCAGGGTCGAACAACTTTTGTTGAGCCTTCGTAGGTGTTGCTTTCTTTGGTGATTTTTCGCCATTTTTCAAAGAGGAGGTGGAGCGGTCTTCTTGGCTCAGACGTTTTTTCGGCGTTGACGTTTTTGATGATTTGCCAATTTTATTGCAAAACTCAGTTTTCTTTCTTTCCAAAAGCACTTTGAATGGTTTAACAAAAACTCCTTTTGGTGGGGACAAACTGCGGCTTTTACTTACACTTTTCGCAACGAAATTTGTTGCCGGTGGCGGCATAGACTCACGCCGTGCAGTTGTTTTCTCAGCACGTTTCGATGTTGGCTTTTTAATTTTATTTGGCGTCTGCAGATCTTTAAGCGACATAGGCGAAGGTGACCGCTTCGAAGCCTTGATTGTTTCGCCTTTTTTTGGGGGCTCCACAGCTTTTTTATTAACCGGGGGCTCTGATTTTAGTTTATCGAATAACGACTCCATTTTCTAAGACTTTTGCACGACGGCACAACCTGTAATCAGTAGAACTATTTTTAGTGACTACTCCGTCAAAAACCGCCGTTCAAGTTCACAATTTTACTTACGATTATTTGCGTATGGTATTGAGTGCGGGTTTTGCGCTCTGTAGCTGCTTTACTATTTTGCAAGTTTTCCTACAAATTATATTGTTTTCTTTAACATTTTTTCAACGAATCACTAAATTTTAGATGGGAAAGTAGCGCAGTTTTCTTGCCGTGCAAAACAGACGCGTTATTGAAGGGACTTTTCGCCGCGTAGAGTTTCGCCGTGCGAATTGACAGCTACTTCAATTGTTGGAATGAGATGACTACTGAAGCCGAAGATGGAGACGAAAAGAGTGTTGCAAAGTTCTGCATTTGTAATCATTGATTGGCAGCACTTGTCGCCGGACAGAGAACGTAAATTACGTGCTTGTGTTTTTTGTGTTGCGGATTTGGCTCGGAACGGAGAAAAGTAAAGTTAATTCATTATCTTAAATTATCATATATCATATTGAACAATGATAAGATTAACGAAAGCTTTGGGATTTAAAGTCATTGTTTACATATAAATCTGGGAAATAAAACTTATGTAACGGTATCGTGAGTGCTGTGCCAGTTTTCTAAAAAAGAAAAGATCCGAAAATTCTATTTTTAGCGTTTTCCCAGCATTCAGGCATACCAAAAATTGTTCTAAATGCTGACAGTAGTTTTTTTTTTTTTTTGACCGCATCTGGAATGCGTTTTGGATTTAAAGTTTAGTTTTTAAGGTTTAAAACGATATACTTAGTATTAGAAGCGCGAATATGCACTTACGTGGCTTTAAGTAACACTAAACCCACAATTATGGAAAAATGATTTAAACGCCTATTTATTTTCCAGTTAGCCAACAAGATGGATCCCGAAGCATTCTTGGATATGGCCAATCAGGTCATAAAGCTGAAAATGTTTCCATACTTCGACATCGCACACAGCCTGCTTGCTGCACTGGCTGTAAGAGAAGATTTAGGTTCGAATGCACAATCGTTCTCACGGAAACATCCACTCGCTTGCTGGCTTTCCACTATGTTAGTCATATTCTCCGGAGGTATGGTAGCTAATGCTTTGCTCGGCGAACCTATTCTGGCTCCTCTCAAAAACACACCGCAATTAATGGTTGGCACTGTTGTCTGGTGAGTCCCTTAGCTTTTTCCGGTGTAAAATATTTTATAATTAAGTATTTCAATTCACAAATATGTATGTATGTATATTTACACAGGTACATGATTTTTTACACGCCCTTTGATATCGGCTATAAAGTTGGCAAATTTCTTCCCATTAAAGTAGTGGCTAGTGCAATGAAAGAAATCTATCGCGCTAAGAAAGTTTATGATGGAGTCTCACATGCAGCAAAATTGTATCCAAACGCTTGGATCATAATGATCATTATTGGTACCCTAAAGGGCAATGGTGCTGGATTCACTAAACTTCTAGAGAGACTGATTCGCGGTGCTTGGACACCTACAGCTATGGAATTCATGCAACCTTCATTGTAAGTTAAATATCTATGCATAAATATCATTCATGTACGAATAATTTTTTGTATTTTTTACTTAGCTATACAAAGGCTTCATTGCTGGCTTCGATCATATTCGTTCTGGACAAAAAGACCGATTGGATATCGGCACCACATGCACTTGTGTATTTTGGCATTGTCATCTTCCTTGTGTACTTTAAACTCTCTTCCATACTTTTGGGAATACACGATCCTTTCCTGCCGTTTGAGAACTTGTCCTGCGCTATTTTCTTCGGCGGAATCTGGGATAGCTTAGCAAAGATATTGGGGCGTGGTCAGGCAAAAGAAGGTGAAAATAAGGAAAGCAAAAAGAACAACTAAGAGACTTTATCAGTGGCTTTGTTGAAAGACGTTAAAGATGCTGAAGCTACTCAGATTGGAAAACTACAAAAGCAACCAAATACAACACAGCGACCTTTTTTCGAAAAGATGAAATCAACACCAGTGTTTGAATTCCTTTTATTATTTCAGTTTTTAGTTTAAAAAATAATTTAAAATTTCCATTAGGGAAGTGCCCTCCTAAGCATTGTGTTCTAGTCAGATTTAGGCCATACCTATACAAATGTTTTTGCACTGAAATGTAAAAATGTGAACATCAAAGTCACGCTTGTAAATAAGCAGCAAGTGGGTGTGTTTGTTTATTTATGAATGTGACTTTTGTGGACAAGCGTATATAAGGATTTTAATTCAGAGTTTATTTATTTTAATAATTTAGTTGTTGATTGTATTTAGTACATTCTTATGCCTGCGCACATTAAAATTGTGTCAGTAATTGGTAGATATAATATATGTATATGCATGAACTTGTTATACGAAATTAGCATATTAGTTGTATGCTTAGATCAACTGTCTTGCCATATAAATATGTATGTACGGAAGCAAGAAGAAGGGATTTAAAAACCAAAAGGCATATGAAAACCTAAATATGAGTATTCAAAAATATCGTCATGTACATACAATCGAAAAAGTTAAACCAAAAATACGCACATCTCGATGCTGCATACATTACATACATACATTTAAATTAATTTTATATAAAAAATAAAATAAAAAATACCTTTGAGATACCAAAAACGGACTAAATTTGTATAGATGGGGAAAAGGATTTACTTCTGTCTCAGTGAGCTTTAACCCTTTATTGCTGACGTGGTTTACCACGGGCGCCCCGATTTTGGTATAAATACCTTGAATATGGGTCAAATTATTAGTTAAAATCACGGGGTAACGGGGTGTTTTTCACCATTGTTAAAATGAAAATTGAGTAAAATATCACGAAAGCGTCAATGTGAATTTTTCACAGCAAAGTTTTTTATTTTACTTTGTGCAAACTCCAGAAAATTCAATAAATTTGCACGAAAACGTTTAACTTTTTAATCCGAGTTTTTTTAGATAAATCTTGTTTTGTGCAATTTTAGTATACTAAAATGCAAATTTGAAAATTTTAAAAAATACCAACGATTTTTGAAATTTTTTTATGTGGGTTTCTGTCGAAATATGAACTATATTTAAGAAAAAAATGGAAACAAATAAAAATAAAAAATTTGAATTGTTCTTTGTACATAGACTTTTATATTTGACTGTAGGTACATATGTACATGTATACAATTTTATAAAAATATCACTGAATTAAATTGAAGGTGCTACCAAACCATGAACTAAGGACAAAATTTTGTCCCTTTTTCGTCGTATTCAAGCAATTAATCCGATCAGTGCAGCAATACTGTTTTTATACGGCTAACTAGCACAAAATTTACGTATATTTCATTCAATATTTCATTTAAAATGTCAAATTCCCTGTAAATACATCCGAATTTACAAAAGGAATTTCACTACTAATAGCCCACTTTGCGACTTTTCTACTACTATTTTCGGCTCCAAGGGATTTCATTCTAAATATTCTAAATATTCTTGTCTTGTATAAACGCAAAGTAATACAACTGTCAGCACTCCCGGACCTACTTGCGTCAAAAGTTGAGTGTTGGCCAACGTTTGTTGGTTCCGTCCAAGGCGAATTTAACCAAGGTGGTGTTTTAAATGGCGAATTTAAATTTTCACCGCAGTCCTTCTGAATGTCAAAATGATGTGTTTTGTTGTAATATGAATTCGCCTTGTTTACAACAAAGACGTCATTTTGACGTTCAGAAGGACCGCTGCGAAAATCAGAGTATAAATAATAGCGGTCTTCATCTAAAGCAATAAAGGGATAAATCGCTTAAATATATCAGTTTATCCGCATTCTTTCATGAACGCACCTTGGTAAATAATTGAACAAAATGGTGTATTATTTAACTTATCTGGCTGGTTACATTTCATTCTTACCTCTTCCATTGTGCTAATTTGCTTTGTAGGTGTTCGTAACAAAATCGACCACCTGGCAGTCTGTCAAGGTTGAATTTGGTGACAGGTCATGATTCAATAATACAAGGTTCGATAAACTGACAGTTTTCTCTCTCGCACCGCTCCCTTAGCAGTGGCCCCGTGTTGCTTCTTTGCAAATTTACTTGGAAAAAGTGTAGCTTTGGTGTGAAATAGAAGTATAAGCTTTTGTGCAATATGTTTATTTGAATATACATATGAAGCACATTTAACTTATGAAAATATAAACTTTTTTAAAATTGGATATTTACATAAAAGTCGCAGCAGTTTTAAATTAATTTTGAGCCCTTTCGCAGTTTTTATACAGCTAAATAACACATAAATTACGTAATTCACGTAGATATTGTAATATTACGTTCAGTATTTCGTTTAAAATGCCAGATTTCCTGCAAATACATTGGAATTTACAAAAGGAATTTCACTACTAATTGCCTACTTTGCGTGCTTTTCTACTACCATTTACGCACCAAGGGATTTCATTCTTCGTCTTTCTCCGCCCTTCGTAAATGCAACCTTTTGTAAGGGAATGTCAAACCGCGGCTGTCAATAATTATCTAACCTTGTATTATTGAATCATGGTGACAGGTAACAAGATCAACGGAAATAAGGTAAATTGACTTTATTTTCCACCCTGGTAAAACCGTTTACCATCGTGTATCAGTGCAGCGACGATTGAATACAACATTTGGAAGACAACGTACTAAGATATATACTTTGAAAGCAGAGGAATAACCTGGCGGTGGTTTTATATAAACCGGCCAAACTACCCAAAACCCCAAAAAAAAACTGTCCAAAATCAAAATTGCTCTACCAAAAAGTACGGGAACGCTTTTCGGTTACAAACTGGTAAAACTGTTCAATACTTCTTCGCTAGGATATATATTTAATAAGGTGAAAATGCAGATGCACATTTTTTTTTTTGCTTATTCAAATTTGAAATCATTTGAACAGCTGATGGTTTGACGATTTACTAGATTTTCCAAGCAAAAATTCTTCGGGTAAAATCTTGCAACTTCTGACAAAGGGAGGATCGATTTTACTCTCCCGGGAACGCTTTCTGGTAAAATCCTGTACATTCTTGCAATTTCTTGCGATTTAAAGTAAGAGATATCTCATAACTCTTATCGCATACCAAACTATGCGTTTACCCACTACTTTTTCGTATTTGCTTTGATTCCGAGTAGGAAAGAAGTGATGTTATTCGGAGAAACGCTGTTCAGGCACAACTAAATAAATAAAATGTAATTTTCGTGATCACTATGCAAGAATTATAGAATACAAGATTGCGAGAGAGTGTAAAGAATAATTTTGGATGAAGAGGAAGAAGCGAACAAGGGATGCGAAATAGTGATGTAAAACTAGGTTGAATTGTACCTACTCTTCAGCTTCTTAAATTTGAACGTACATTCGGTACAAGCACATTATTTTAGGTGCATTTGGAACGTAGTAAAATATTGTTTCATGTAAGTAGAAAAATTGTTATGGTACAAAAGGAAGATGTAGTTCACCAACTACCAAAAATATATGCACATAAAAATACATGTTTACTGTTTAGGTACATGTAACCACTTTTAGCTACAATATGAAAAGTTAGTATTCATTACTAGTGCGAAAAAATAATAGGTTCATTCCTTATCTTTTTGGACTAAAATCTGAAAAGTGTCAAAATGCCAGAGCGTAAGCAAAATGCGCTCACTAAAAGAGAGTAACAGGAAAAGTAAAGGAACGCAAAAAACCAAATTTTTAGTCCAAAGAATGGCAACAACAAAACTAACGTCAAATAAGAACAGAAATGTATGTACAAAACACATTCACACAAGCACAGGCACAATAAACACTTGCTATTAATTAATTATTTTTTGCCTCCTTCCAATTTCAATTCATTTCTTTTACTTTTTAGATTATTCTCACTTTTTGCGTATTCTTTAATTTCCGTTAATTTAAATTCAGTTGAGTTTGACACTTTTCAGGATTTTGCCAGAAAAAATTCTTCTGACTAAATCTGACTACGTCGGACTTTTTCTGACTATTTCTGGGAGATAAGGAACGCGCATAATAATACGACGTCAGCGAAAGGGTGGATGCTGCCAAATCGGGGGAGAGAGAGGACTAGCGGTCCGCGGAAGGCGCCACCTTTGTTTCGGTGCATCGTGCCACCTGGCAACTTGTCAGAGTGGAATTTTGTTAAAATTTATGTGTTTATCCACCAAAATCGTTTGATAAAGTCATAAACTTTGGTTAAATAGATTTCCCTACAAAGTTTGACTGTTCATTTGTCAAAATGATAAATTTATCATTTTATCAAGTTTAACAATAGTTTTTCACTTTTGATGAAGACCCCTATTGTTATCATGGGTTTAACACACGCATGCGTCTACGCATGTTATGGAGTTCCACTTTAATGCGCAAATGTCAAAAGACAAAAGACGCGAAATGCCAGAGAATACAAAGGTGAAAAGCGACTGTTTTTGTTTACGCCAGCAAAAGTGCAATATTTCAGAAAACTCAATTAAACAAAGTTTTGAATTTTCCAATCAACATGGAAATGGAGTACGAAGATGCTGGTTGGCAAGGTCGCCAAAAAGCACCTGGCGAGGATGAGGTGATCTCTTGGCTTTTGTGTGTTTTCGTGCGAAATGTAAATTAACGTAATTTTTTGATAAATTTAGGAAATGCCCGAAGATAATCCCCAGGAAACTATTCAAGAATGTCTGGAAAAGTTTCTTACTCCAGATTACATAATGGAACCTGGTATTTTCACGCAACTTAAACGCTACTTCCAGTCGGGCGGTTCGCCTGAAGAAGTCATCACAATGCTGTCTGAGAACTATAAAGCCGTTGCTCAAATGGCGAATCTTCTGGCTGAATGGCTTATACTTGCGGGCGTAAAGGTCACGGATGTGCAGGCAATGGTCGAAAATCATTTGAAAGACATGATTTTAAAAACATTTGATCCGAAAAAGGCCGACACAATCTTTACAGAGGAAGGTGAAACTCCCGATTGGCTGACTGAAATGATCGACCATCATACATGGCGATCGTTGATATATCGCTTAGCAGAGGAATATCCTGATTGTTTGATGCTAAATTTCACCATCAAACTAATCTCAGATGCCGGGTTTCAAAGCGAAATCACATCAATTTCAACTGCAGCGCAGCAAATTGAGGTATTTTCACGTGTACTAAAGACATCTATTACAAAATTCCTGAACAATCCTGAAGACATACAAAGTGCTATACAAGAATGCGCCCGCATGGTATGCCACGGCCAACACACTTACGTTTACTCGCAAGTTCTGATACAAGTGCTCAGTCAGGAGCCAAAGGGTGGATTCAATATGAAACGGCTCTCGCAGGAAATCACCAAATATGCACTGCAAAAGTGAGTGTGGAAAATATGTAATGTAAATTGTACCAACTGATTTTTATATAACGTAAGCGACATTTTTTCAACATTTTCTTTTAGATGCAGAAATATTGCTAGATCATCTAGATGCATATCTGCATCAAAAAGAAAATTTTGAAAAAATGTCGCTTATGCTATTTTGGCGGTTAGGGATCGATAGTATGTATATTCCAATATGTATTTACATTTTTGCATTTATTTAGCAATCAAAATGTAACGCCCATAACTATGGCGCTTAACGGTTCAGCAGCCTATCCGCAAGCATGCCAGGCACTCTCCTCCATGCTGTCGCGCAACACCCTCAATCCAGCAGATATTACGGTATTGTTTCGTAACTATTCCGCCGCGGATCCGCCACCAATCGATTTAATACGCAATCCACAATTCCTTGAGCTGCTAGTGGATTCATTATTCAAGGCAGGAGTAAAAATAAACCCTGAACATAAGTCTAAGTACATTTATTTGCTGGCATATGCTGCTTCTGTAGTGGATACTCCGGCCAAAAAACGACCGATGACCGAACGCGTACTGAACAAAGATGAACTGAAAAGCACCATACAAGCAATCGAGAAAGTGCACGCAATATGCAATGTAAACAAAGGCTCCACCGAACTTATTGCCGAATTGCAGACGCTCTATAATTGCATTAAGTAAATATGATTTGATAAAGAAAAATATTGGTTATGTGTACTTACATGCGTATGCCATTCAAATATTTACAGATATCCTGTGGTTGGCGTTGGCGTCATACGTTGGATTGAAAACACTGTTACAGAACCATCTTACTTCAAACTGTCTACAGACAGTTGTCCCACTCACTTGGCTATACTCGACGAAGTGGCAGCCGTGCATTCGACGCTGCATCAGCAAAGTTTACGATTACTCATTCGGCTTTTCGAATCAAAACAAGATGAACTGGAAATTTTGGTACAATTAGAAATGAAAAAAATGTTATTGGATCGCATGGTTAATTTGCTGACCCGCGGCTGTGTTGTGCCAGTAGTGAAATACATCAAGCAATGTTGCGCTAAGGGTGATACAGATATATCGCTGATACGTTACTTTGTTACCGAAGTGCTAGAGACAATAACACCACCTTACTCTCCAGAATTTGTGCAATTATTTTTGCCAATGGTAGAGAACGAGGAAATAACAGGTACTATGCGTGGTGAAGGCGATAACGATCCGGTTTCGGAATTTATCGGTAAGCAAATAAACTTCAGTTGCGTATGTATATATTAAATAAATAGTAATTTATTTTTTCCTATCTATCTTTTAGTACATTGCAAGGCCCGTTACACCACAGTTTAAAGCTTCTTAATACGAAGAAAAATAAGACAATTTTTAAGCTCAGTTACGTATGCGTGTAAAAAAAAAGAACACGCCTATACATAAAATAAACAAATATTTTCTACCTACGCATAAAAAGCTCCCAACAGTATGTCATTTGCCATTGTGATGACACAAACTTTAGTTAGGTATCTTATCTACTAAAACAAACCGTTTACAGTTCAAGCAGCATATAATTGTATAGTATCTTTTAATTTAACTTTTTAAGTTTGCTGACAGCTTAAAATTGATTGTCGCTTTTTCGCGAGTAAATATTAATTACATTTACATTTTTTTTTATGTTCGTATCTACATATGTACATACATACAAACGTACATAATTGCAAATATGTATGATTCACACATCCGGCTAGTTATTGGGAATCGCAAGGCAAACAAAAAATAAAATAAAAATATTTATAACATTGATATTAGTTTTTTAAAACATTTTATTACCAATATGACGAGGTTTTGCATGTTGGCCAATTATTTTTGAATTCTGTACATACATTTGTATGTACACGTACATTGTCTTTGAACTCCATCTCGATGCGCTGCACAAATTGCAATTGATGGTGCCATCTTAGACACTGCTCGGGCCTCAACAGCCATAGAGACTGGCAAGTGAATTTCATAGCGGCCTGTTGCCAGCCTGCACCGCAACAACGCGCAACCAACAACCAGGCAAACTAAACAACACACACACCAGCAACAAAACACACCTAACCTCAACATATTACACCAGATGAAACGCAACACAGGAATGCAAATGCAGACCAGAGGTTAACGCACGCAACGACAACCACACACACACCCCGCAACACAAGAACGGCAGCAACTTTGCAACACCAGGAGACAAGTCTGACAATAACCGCATACATGTACTGTACCCAACACCAACCAGCAACCCCTGATCACTCAGCAACATAACACTAGTCCTAGCTGACTAGCCATCAGGCATATCAACATCAACGGTCTTCAAATCAAACTTCCAGAGGTGACTACAAACCTGCAGTACAAACCTTCTCAATTCCGACGGATATAACGTAATCTACAAAGACCGCCTTTGCGATGGAGGAGGAGGTATGGCTTTTATCATCCATCACCTAGTTTAATATGGAAGCGTCACTGAAATTGACGACTTCGTCGTGTGCCGGAGGCAATAGGCTTGTGATAAGCGAGTTTAGGCATTCTAACCTTGGCAACGATCAGCGGGGTGTAGCGTTATGAGAGCAAATTGATGACTCCACTCTGCTGCATGAACGACGATGCCGTTACGAGACTCCCAGGCACCTGTACCAGCTTGCCGGACTTATCCATTGCGAGTGCAAACTTAATGTACTGCAAACACATGGCGGGCCTTGATCCCGTTGCCCTCCGACCACCTTCTCGTCATACTATCTATGGACCGCCCAGTGATTTTGTCGCCTCTAGCACGTATGTCAGCGTAAAGAAGACAAACTGGGATGGCTTCAGTTACTATGTAAACGTCCACTTAGGTGCCCTACCGTTTCCACCTGACGCGCGTAGAGCTGCGCGAATTTCGCATGGTCCTAAAAGCAGCAGCCGCCCGCTTTATCTCAGCCGGACGAATACCGTGAATTTGACCAAGCTTTCCGACAGAAGCGGCAAGTCTCGTTGACGTCCGATATCGAATCAGATGAGCCAATTCCGACGATATTCACATCAAGCGCCTCATTGGAGCACCTCAAATTCTGCAATCTTCAAGGGACGTCAGTATCGAACCCGTCGAAGTATGACGACCACACGGCCATCAAATTCCAAATACACACCGACTCCAGGAAGTACGAGCGACAAAACCCAGCGCAGCGTACTCTGCAAAGCACATAACTTCCGTGCAACTGACTGACCAGCAACATCCACCCCCAACGAAGTACAAGTCGCGATGCACAAGACCAAGTAATCGAAACCAACTGGATGCCCTGGGCGTTGAATACCTCACCAAACTTTTCAACCCCTCGCTATCTACATACACCATCTCATAGATATGGGAAAACAGGAGAGTAATCCCTCTGCAAAAGCATGGGAAGAGCGTGGAGTTGGGTGAATCCTACAGACCGATCACTCTCCTCTCCCCTTGACTCTTGAAGCGCTACTTCTTCCGCAATTAACTCAACGACTGCATCTTGCACCACACCAGCACGGATTCAGGAAGTTGCATAGCATTACCACTGCACTTAACACCCTCACAGCGGAAATAACTGATGTTTTGATTTAAAAGCGCGCCTGTGCTCTCACCATCTTAGTGGCACTTGACCTCTCAAAGACCTTTGACACCGTCAATCATGCAACACTGATAGGTGACATTATCTCGTCCTCTCTCCCGCCGCACACAAAACGTTGCATCGCTAGTTACTTCTTAGATAGGCAATCACCAATTCTGTTTAACCTATACCTAGCGAACCCTCTCCCTCCACCTCAGGGAGTCTCCATAATCTCATACGCGGATGACTACTCTGTTATGTTTTCAACCGTGCGTAGCTTCCCCACGGAGATCCCCACCTACCCAAAGGTTCTTGGCGTTACATTTGACAGCCTCGTGCCCTTCTCAGCATACATCACCACAGTTTTCAACAAGCTACGAAGCAGAAACAAGGCGAAAAGATAATGAAACCCTGCTAGTGACCTATAAAGCAATTGCCTAGTCTGTTGCAAACTATACCGCTCCAGTGTGGACAGTCGGAACAAGCGACACGCAGTGGGAAAAATCTCAAGACAAGACAAAACGCCGCTTTCTGAACCGCGGCAGGGTGACTACAATGCTCTGGGTAAAGGTACACCATACGCTGCTCTCAAAACAGTTCTTGATACGCTGTAACAGGAAAACTCTCTAATTACGGTTCGACACAGAAAGCTGTACCGCCACAATACGTAAGGAGACATCTAGACATCATCTAGAAGCAGACATCGGCAACAACTTCAATCACCGCTGAGCCGCGAGGCATACATTTGCACTCGGACTAGAATACACCCAAAACGCCATCACCGCACATAAAAGTGTGGGTCTGAATCAACGTCGTTCCTGAGCCAGTAGAAGTCTTAAAAGTCTTTAACATCAGCGCCCTTCAAGCAATGCTTCACTTGTCCCTTCCAGTTCGAAAGAAGGGATGGATCGAAAATTAATTAAGTGGTCGTAAGTCATTGGCTAAGTCCGAACCGCGTAGAAAGGGGGTAGCCTAGGCAAAGTACTTTTCATGACACTTTCTCGAACCTCTGTATGGCCAAACGCGCTTCGCCTATGCCAACTTCAGTACTCTATTTTAAAGTTTCCTCGAATAAATACACGCCAGAAAAGCTTAAATCTCAAGGTAACATACGAAGGCGCCAATATTCCAACAGTAAATGACCTTAAAATCTCTGGAGTCACCTATAATGGTCTACAGTTTTTATACACAGAACTCAAGGCCCATATAAAAAATTTCGCGCGAAAAATAAAGTCCTCCAAATCGTAGTCGTTCGTGACTTATCTACATATGTATGTACACACAAGGCGATTGGCAGGTCGATGTTAAACTAATGGCCCTTTTATGTATGGCGGCGACTGATAGCCGATAGCACAGTGCTTGGCTCTCAGAGCATATCCTCTAGAGATTACACCTGTCAACAAGGCTCCTGCCGTATGAAGAATCTCCATTGTTGTGGTATGTAGCTGCATATCAAATACTCTACAACAACAACAATCATTCGTTAATAAATACATATGTATGTATGTACTTGTGCTTTTCTAAATTTGAAGGTACTCGCTCTCTCACTGCCGTTCTCTGAATACAACTGGTTGAACACTGATAATTTTTCCTTATCAAATTTATCTTAAAGTAAAAAGTACACGCATTTTTATGTACATACATACACACATACATATGTATCTATGTAAGCATAATTGTGGCTAATTTATATATACATACATACATATATAGGTATATAGATGATTTATGACGACGATAGCTAACAACTGACTGATTACTAATATTGCACCCAAAAGGTACTGAGGCAAGCTGAAGTTAAGAGGAAAAAATAGTCGTATTTACTTGAAAATTTCAGGAATAAAGTTATTGCGAAAATCGTATATAGCCGGTTGTTTTTTAAATTTACCTTTTCAGCACCGATTTCAGGCGCCAACTTAGCAAAATATCCGTTAAGCACATGGTATTTTGTATACAAACATATGTACCTGGTTACATACATAGTATGCAGATACATATCGTCGTGTATGTTCATACATATGTATACTAGAATGGACAACACTGATAACAAAGCGCTATAGCACAGAATAGCGAACGATATGACGGCACCTAAGTGCATTGAGTTCGACACATTCGACAGTTTATCGATGGATTCGGTGGCTTAAGAATAGGCGAAATTTGAAGGGGCGCATGTTAAAATTTGAATTTAATTTTTTTTTGCGAATAACAACGCACCGAACGAAATGTTTTTAAATCGTGCGATACCGGAAGCTAAAACACAAATAAACTACGATAGCCCAAAACAAAGTTATAGTTCCATGAATTAATTTTTGCGATCTTGGATAGGATATATGTATGGAAATAAAGTGTGATGGTAGTAGTTTAAAAATTAAGCGAATTCACGTACAAGCTCAGTGTTTTGAAATTTAATTGGCAAAATTACCACCAAACGCTTTTGTATTATTGTAAAACTAAGACACAAAACAACAAAAAGTAATAAATCTAAAGGCAATTAATTTGTCGGAGTCTGCTGTCTACTTGTTTTCGAAGAATATCAGTTTAGAAATATGGTAAGTATTTAGCGGGTAAATTTGCTTGTCTGATACATAGTTAGTCGTACATTTTACTTTGATGAAAAAATAGGGGAAACGTACAAGTTACGTATACGACAAGACGTCCACGCAACAAGGAGCCAAATGCTAAGTATGTGTGTACATTAGACTGCATCACTCCCCCCAACGGAATCATAAAACCTATTATATTTTAAAAATATTTTAGTGCAAGTCTTAAGATATAATAAATTTTGTAATTCCGGTGGAAAAACCGCATTTTTTTTTTGTGACGTAGTCTAATGTACATACATATATGTATGTATGCATATGTACCACTCTAATATCCTTAATTGTAGGAAGCAAATTTTTACATTTCCCAATCCTCAATCCCTACGCCGATGCTACTCTAGTCGAATATATCACATATTAATTTTGGTCCCGATTGGAGTCGGTTAAGGCGTGTCGCACAGGGGTCAAAGTTTTTCACTTAAATTGCTTTCGTGAAATTGGCTTTAAGTTAAAAATGATTTAAATTTTTTTTAATTTTATATGGAAATTGACAGAATATAAAAAAATCATTTTCCATTTAAATATGCTGATGTCACCGGCAGTTAAATTTCTTTCGTGGAATTGGCTGTAACTGTTTAAAATTCAACAATCAAATTTGAAAT